GAGAGAGAGAGAGAGACGGTGGTTATTTTGAAAGAAGGGAATGAAGAAACGAAAAGTGACACGTAGTTTGCAGTAAGCAGCGTGACCCAGATCGCCTGATGAACATCGAGGCTCGAAACAGAGAGAAATGTATAGGCTGAGGGAGGGTATTAGCGTTGGAATATATCGGAAACTATTAAGCTATTGCAACGAGATACCGATCGCCTTCCCCCATACCAATTCTCCTGCCCCCCTCTCGAAATTATTTCTAGACAATACCTGTGCCAGAGCTGAGCCCCATTCATCGGATCAGCCCTCACGTCCTCGCCTCACCTAGAACAGAGAGAAGCGGCGTTTCTGTTAATTAGTACACCGTCCGCGCCGGGTAATTAAGGAAATGCAATCGAGACGATAGGGGGGGACGTGTCGCGTGCTGCAACACCATCCAATTTTTAAACTCGACGCTTATCTCGACTCGGCTCTTTATTCTCGGCCCTTCGTTCCCCATCCACCGAAGGGAATTAAACTGACCGACGACGCAATAACGGCCACTGCACGCGATTCTCTTTATCTCTCTCTCGAAAGATAAACGAGAAATATATCGCGAAAATTCTCTTTTTTTATCCTTGCTTTTCTCCTTCCCCCCTTTTCTCTCTCGTTACGTTCGCGTACTTTCCGTGTATTCTCGATGAATATTTGAAACCAGTCCACGAGAGCGCGGCCGGCCCACACCCACAGAGTCGAGAAAGAATGGAAAGAAAGAAAGGAAGGAAGGAAGAGAAAAGTGAAAATAAGCGATGCACAATCACCGGCTTTAATTACACCGCTCGTCAAACCTTCATCATCGTACTGATCAGCTCACGCTCCGCAACTCCTCGATGAATTTTTTACATTGTATCGAAGGGAGGACAGGCGAGTGTCGAAAGAAGCGAAGGTAACCGCTCTCTCTAATTATCGCTCATCAAACTTCATCTTCATATTCGTTCTACCGCGCTTTATCCACTGAGGGGGAGGAGCTGTTTCGAAACAGCCGGCGGGATATCGAGTGAACTTTACGAATCTGCTTGTACTCCCAGATCACGAGCTAGAGAACTTGGCAGATTCAACCCCGAATTAACCCCGTTGGACCGAATAATTTAAACTATCGATACGGAATACGCCGAATTTATATCTACATGTCGATCGAAAACAGGCGAATTCGAAAGGAATAGATAGATAGGGAAAATGTTTTCGATAGAAATTTTCGATGTTGGGGCGAGGTAATAAATTTCCGTGTACCAATTAAACGCGCGTCCCCTGTTCTCTGATACGCGACGTTAAATTCACCGTCGACGTGTCGACTTACGATTATTACGGTTAGATTAGATACGATACTTTTGCGACGAGTTCAAGAGAGGATGATCCGTCACGGAAGCTAAGCATCGGGTATCAAGCATTTCAATGACAAATATACAACGTTACGAGTAGGTGTATGATCGCTCCGTGTATAAAATCCAAGTTACGTTTGAAAAATAATGAATGTATTAGGTGTGCGAATAAGTTCCTTCCTCTTTTTTTCTACGATCGTAACTTCTGATCGAATTCGAATTGCTTCCCGTTCGTGTCCGAAACAGCGTTCTTTCGTTTTTAACCTTTTCGTTATAGCCGATTATAGTCGCTACGCATAAGATACCACTGACGTGCTATGAGAGATTATAGTCGTCCTCCATAAAATGTCACTGATATTACAGCCGATTATAGTCGATTTACATAAGATGCCACGAGCGATTATAATTGCTCTGCATGAAATGCCATTGACGTGCTACGAGCGACTATAGTCGTTCTGCATAAGATACCACTGACGTGCTATGAGAGATTATAGTCGTCCTCCATAAAATGTCACTGAGATATTACAGCCGATTATAGTCGATTTGCATAAGATGCCACGAGCGATTATAGTTGCTCTGCATGAATGCCATTGACGTGCTACGAGCGACTATAGTCGCTCTGAATAAGATACCATTGACGTGCTATGAGAGATTATAGTCGTCCTCCATAAAATGTCACTGAGATATTACAGCCGATTATAGTCGATTTGCATAAGATGCCACTGACATATTATGAGCGATTATAGTTGCTCTGCATGAAATACCATTGACGTGCTACGAGCGACTATAGTCGCCCTGAATAAAATGTCATTGACGTACTTTGGGCGACTATAGTCGCTCTGCATGAAATGTCACTGATGTACTACGACTATAATCGCTCTATATAAAATGCCATCGACGTGCTATGCATAAGATATCACTGACGTGCTATGAGAGATTATAGTCGTCCTCCATAAAATGTCACTGAGATATTACAGCCGATTATAGTCGATTTGCATAAGATGCCACTGACATACTATGAGCGATTATAGCTGCTCTGCATGAAATGCCATTGACGTGCTACGAGCGACTATAGTCGCTCTGCATAAGATACCACTGACGTGCTATGAGAGATTATAGTCGCTCTATATAAAATGCCACCGACGTGCAATTATAATCGCTCTGCATAAGATACCGCGTATCGTACGATATGACGAGCGATTGGAGTTATTGCACATCGAGTATCTTTTTCTGAATAAACAGAAATAAATACCGTCGAAACAACTCGGATCGCAACCGCTGACGATTTTTCTCGAATACCGTGCACATTTTTGTCGCGGCGGAGAAATTGCCCGTAGCGAAAGGATTAAAAAAAATCGTGAGTTAGCGTTCTAGAGTATCCAGTGTGACAATTTCGAATGCGAGAAGTTTAATTTTTCCATTCCAGCTTGGGAAATCAGCTGTTGAAATGATTTGCGCGGGAGAGAACGCCGTGTCTTACGGAACGTGCGAAAAGTCATAGCAAAGATTTAAATTTGGAAATTTTAATTCGAAAGACGACGATCGTCCAGGTGAACCGAGACGGTTTAGAGAAATCGCTCGACGATAATTCGACCAGATTGGGAGTCACGAAACTGATCAAGTAATCTTGTATACCTCGATTCATCTAATGAAATTCTTGAATTTGGAAAAAAAGGGGGAGGAAAGAAGTTATTCGCAATATCACTCGCACGCGCGAAACAAAGATTTACAGAAGAGTTTGAAATCGTTTTCGGAGACGCGAAATTATTCAGTCTCGCGAAGGGGGTCACCAGAAATGGAAGGATCGTGTCGGGGATTTTTGTGGGGCGTTGAAACGAGGCCCGGCCGGTGAAAATAGCGGCGCAACACCGGCGACAGGAAGCGGTGGAACGACCGAAAACTGTGCTCGGTAATTTCGTGGTGAACAATTTGAGGAAGGGAGAGCTAGAGAGGCGGCGGTGTTGGATGGTCCGCAGCTGTTGTTGAACGTCGCCCACGTGAACCTCTCGTGTTTCATTCAACGCCTCTACGCCGAACGCGTTTACGAACTCCGTCAAATCGGCCATTATGTTTTCTCCACGTATACCGCGTATACGAAATTAGCGATCTCGATTTACTCTCGATTTCTTCCTTTCCGACCAAGCCAGAAACGAGAAGAAGAAGGAGAAATTCCAAAACGCCTCTCGACGGGAATTCAAACAGCTCGAAATCTCGAAATTAAATAACCGCGTATAACCGTTTCGTTCACGTGTCGTGGATGTGCTCGAGTTTAAACGAAGGAAACAAAGGATGGTTAGAAAAAAGAGAAAAAAAGGGAAGCTGTTGTCGCTTCGGCCAGCTGTTGTCCGAGGAACACTCGAGCAACTATGTATCCTCGTTTCGAGGTGGTTAAGGAGGCGCATTCAGAGTGTGACGAGCTCGAGGAGAGGATGCTCGTCTCGGAAACAATGTTTCGTTCATTCGTTCGTAATCCGAATCCTCGTTCGGACAAAGGCGACGAGTGGAAGGAAAGGCGAGAGGAGGAATAGAGCGCGTTTCAAACACGCGTAAATAAAAGTGGGAATAAATAAGATCAAGCGTGCGATCGATAAATACGGGGATAAACGCTGGTGGGATAATGCCGTGTTGTTTCACTTGTTTGTCTCTGAAATTTTTATAAATCGTCCCGACCCGTCTCGCTTTTCCTCTCTTGAAAAGGAAAATTCGCCCGTTCTCGTTTCTCGAAAAGATTTTTATCGGCCGCCTGCCTCGCATCCGCAACGTACGACGCGGTTTTGTTGGCAGAAATGGCGCTGCTGCCACGCCATCCCATTAGGAAGAGGAATTCTTTTTCATAAGTTATCTTTAAGGTTTTGCGGAGAAGAAATTGGACCGAGAGAGAGAGAGAGAAGTTTCACGCTTGGGCAAACATTTGTGCCGGCCAATAAAAAACGCGCTGTAACGAGTGTTATTGGACGGATGTAAGGTTTGTTAGCTCGTAGATAGAGAACGCAGCGAGGCAATATCGGCGGAGCAAGATGCTCGACCGAGTTTCGGATCGTAAAGGACGTAAAATCTACTCGAGATTGCGCGTTAGTCCAAACAACGGGGCGAGATAATAAAAGAAACTGTTCGATATCGTTTTGGAGGCGTAACGTATATACCGGGTGTGCGTGTTTATTGATCTCCCGGGGGGAGGGAGGGGAGGGAATTCAAATTGGGCTCATTTTTTTTTTTCTCTTCTTCGTGTCGACAGTTAATATCGATCCGTGGATTTAGAATTTCCACGAATCGGATGAAATCGATCTTTTAGATTCTCGAGATGCGAGGAAGAATCGTTAATTATCCTGCTCCAATTGGAAATCTAAAAACTTTTCAAAACAATTAATTAAATTTTCAAATACCGTCTCGACTGCCATCTCGGTTAAGCGTCTCTCGATAATCTTGGGATAAATTTTAATCATCGCGGCGGATCATTGCGCGCAAATAACAGTAACGACAATTCTGTTCAGAGTGAAGAGATAGGTGTGCACACGGTACACACGTGAAATCAACGAGGCCACTCAATCTCCTGTGTACCCAGACGACTCGCTCGAAAGAGAAGAAATGGCCGAGTATTATTGTTTACCAACCATCTCGAAGAGAAAACGCGGCAAAGTCGAGGGGTGTAACGCCGCTCCTAATCTCCTGGCTCTCGAGTTCGAAAGGTGACAATCGTAAAAAAGGGACTTGGTCGGCCGTCTCAGTGGCGCCGGTAAGAACCGATCGATCGTTGCATCAGAAATACAATTGGAAGGCGATTAATAAAATTCTACGTACATTCGATGATGTTGGCTGATAATTATTTACAAAAAAAATATCGATGATGTCTTTGAATGATGTTGAGAAAATTTCACGTTTAGATTAAATTAGGTTAATAACATTTTAATAAAAAATGACTTCGAATGACATTCGATTCAGTGACGAGTTTGTTGAAAAATTCATCAG